CCACTGGCAGAACCCCCCTGCAAGTCACTCAGTTTTCTCCCTTAGTCTCCTCACAGCTACCCTACTTACTCCCTTCCAATCCAAACTGATCTTTTGAAAGTGAGAAACTTATCACATCTTGTTTAAAACCAGTCAACAGCTTCCTGTGCTTTTTAGGATAAATTCCAAAATCCTCAGTAAGGTCTATGAAGCCCTGATGATGTCATCTCCATCTCCCCCTCTAGACTTTTCTTGTACCATTTCTGTCACCACTATCTCTTTTTAAATATATATATTTTTAATTTTTGCTGAGATAATACTGGTTTATAAAATTATGTAAATTACCAGTGTATAATATTATACATCTACTCCTGAACGTTGTTGTTGTGTCCGACTCTTTGTGACCCCATGGTCTGTAGCCCATCAGGCTCCTCTGTCCATGGAATTTCCCAGGCAAGAATCCTGGAGTAGGTTGCCATTTCCTTTTCCAGGGGATCTTCCCGACCCAGGGATTGAACCCATGTCTATGGCACTGGCAGGCAGATTCTTTACCACTGAGCCACCAGGGAAGCCCTTACTTCTGCATATATCACCAAAGTTTTAGTTTCAATCCATCACCAGAGGGTTGATCCCCTTTATCCAGGTCACCTTCCCTCTGCCCTTTTTCTCCTCTGGTAACCACTACTCTGTGTTCTGCATCTACGTGCTTGGTTTTGTTTGGTTTGTTCATTTATTTTGTTTGTTTTTATATATCATATGTGAATTAATCATATGAGACCTGTCCTCTGATTTATTTCATTCAGCAGACCTTCAAGATTCATACACATTATCACACATGGCAGGATTTCATCTTTTCATGGCTGAGTAGTATTCCACCATGTGTGTGTGCACGCACACACAAGTGTGTGTGTGTAAGAGAGAAAGGGAGAGGGGGAGAGAGAGATTTTTATCCATTCATCCATTAATGGACACTCAGGTTGTTCCCATAGCTTGGCATTGTAAATAATGCTTCAATGAATATAGGAGTGCAAGTATCTTTTTGAATTAGTGTTTTCACTTTCTTTGGATAAACACCCATAGATGGGATAGTTTGTCACCATCATCTTTTTTTTTTAAACTTTTTGTGACTGTCTTCCTTTTTTAAAGTTTATTTTTAATTGAAGGATAATTTCAATCCTTTGGTTTCTGCCACACATCCACATGGATCAGCCACAGGCATACGTGTCCCCTCCTTCTTGAGCCTCCCTCCCATCTCCCAGCCCATCCCACACCTCTAGGTTGTCACACACTCCAGGTTTGAGTTCCCTGAGTCGTATAGCAAATTCCCACCAGCTATTTTACATATGTTAGTGCGTACGTTTCCAGGCTACTCTCTCCATTCGTCCCTTCCTCTCCTTCCTACCTGCACCGGCCATGTCCATAAGTCTGTTCTCTATGTCAGCGTCTCCACTACTGCCCTGCAAATAGGCTCATAGTACTGTCTTTCCAGATTCCTTATATATGTGCTTAACATACGCTATTTGTTTTTCTCTGACTTCCTTCACTCTGCATAATAGGTTCTAGATTAACCCACCTCATTAGCACTAACTCAAGTGTGTTTCTTTTAATGGCTGAATAATATTTCATTGTATATATGTGCTACAGCTTCTTTATTTATTCATCTAGGACATCTAGGTTGCTTTCACGTCCTACCATTTGTAAATAGTTCTGCAATGAACACTGGGGTACATGTGTCTTTTTCAATTATGGTCTTCTCAGGCTCTGAGCCTGGTACTGGGATCGTTGCATCATATGATAGTTTTATTTCTAGTTTTTAAAGGAATCTTCATACTGTCTTCCATGGTGGCTGTATCAATTTCCACTCCCACCAACAGTGTAAGAGGGTCCCCTTTTCTCCACATCCTCTCCAGCATTAATCATTTGTAGGATTTTTTATGATGGCCATTCTATTGTGAAGTGATATTTCATTGTAGTTTTGATTTGTATTTCTCTAATAATGAGTGAATTTTGATTTGCATTTCTCTAATAATGGTTTTTCCAGTAGTCATGTAGGGATGTGAGAGTTGGACCATAATTAATTAGTGATGCTGAGCATCTTTTCATGTGTTTATTAGCCATCTGTATGTCTTCTTTGGAGAAATGTCTGTTTAGGTCTTCTGCCCACCTTTGGATTGGGTTGTTTGTTTTTCTGTTATTGAGATGCATAAGCTGCTTGTATATTTTGGAAGTTAATCCTTTATCAGTTGTTTCATTTGCTACTATTTTCTACATTCTGAGGGTTGTCTTTTCACCTTGTTTATGGTTTCCTTTGCTGTGCAAAAGCTTTTGAGTTTAATTAGGTCCCACTTGTTTATTTTTGTTTTTATTTCCATTATTCTAGGAGGTGGGTCATAAACAATCTCCCTGTGATTTATGCCATAGAGTGTTCTGCTTCTGTTTTCCTCCACCATTATCTCTTAATACAATCAAAGAATAACTCAAGAAGATCTTAGAATACACCATACTCTGAAAAGCCTCAAAAAATGGAACAAAATCTAGAGATGTTCCAAATTCAATGAGTTCTGTTTTGGCTTGTAGTTCCCACTATCATATTTATCAAAAGCAGTTCTGAGATATATTTTGTAGTTCTGACGCAACAGTTTATCAAAATGTGATTCATGTGTGTGTGGAGTGATTCAAAATGAAAACCTGCTTATTCCTGTCAAAAGATGAGTCACTGAACTTTTGTGAAGTTCTCCAAATCCTCTCGGCCAGTAGCTCCCAGATTTTCTAGATCAGTTAAGAAACTGAGAGGGGCCCAGCACAAGGGAGTCCCAATTTATTCTCCAAAGTGAAGATATCAAAACAACAACAAAAAAATTCACACACATAAAAGAAAGAACATTTTAACAAAAACTGAACACCTGCAAACAGAATAAAAGCTAAGATTATAATTTAATAATTTTATGGCCTATTTTTTCTCATTTCATTAAAGATTTGTGAAAGCAGTTTCCCCAACTGACACCAGAGGCTGAACTAGACTTTGATAAACTCTGTTTCCGATAAAAACTACTAAGTTCATGGAGCATGTGTGCATGCTCAAATACATCCGACTCTTTGTGACACCCCACCGACTGTAGCCCACCAGGATCCTCTGTCTGTGGGGTTTTCTAGGTAAGAATACTGGAGTGGGTTGCTATTTCCTTCTCCAGGGAATCTTCCCAACCCAGGGATCAAATCCACGTCTCCTGCATTGGCAGGTGAATTCTTTGCTAGTGAGCCACCTGGGAAGCCCAGATTCATGGAGGGGCTGTTGATTTTCTTGTTCTAAAAATACCTTTTATAAAGTACTTTTGCTTAAGTACTGAAAAAGAAAATAAAAAGCATTCTCTGACATTTGAAACTGTTCTGAGGTCCACAACTAGACCTGTCAGTATTAGCACTTGCTGATTTGACACTCAAAAGACAGGCCATTTCTGTTCTCCTGTTAGATATAATTGGCCTCACAATACCTACCTCAGCGAAGGTTAAGCTGAGGCACGATAAAATGACACAAAGTAAGCCCACTTGTGACCCTGTCTAAGCTCAGACAAAAAAAAAAGGGGGGTACCTTGCAACTCACAAATCATGAAAGACCCTCTTCTACTGCTAACAAATGACGTTCTTCACTCAATCATAGTTCTCCTCACTTTCTAAAAGCATCTGATCCAGAGCAAACCCCTGATTCCTTAGACCTGACCCTGAAACACACGAAGTCCAAATTATAAAACAGGTTTCTCCTAACGCCCTTTTTCTGAGAGGCCCCAGAGTTGCCCATGGCGTGCATTCTCATTCACCGTGGAATAATAAAACCAAGGTTTTTCAACTATAGGCGTGTTTCCTTGGGTCTCTGGCTGAAAGCATTGACAGTATCAAAGTATAAATTTTTTAAAAAATTATCATAATCCCCACCACTTTATAGCAAATAAATTCCCTACCCATATTAAAGCAGACTAATTTTATTTTTCCTTATATCCTTCCAACCCATGCCCACTGTGTATTTTTCTCTTACGGAAATCACTGTGCATACCATTTTGTTTTCTGCTTTTACGTGCTTTATCTTGTGTCACTTTTGAATGGCTGAATACTACCTCACTATGATTTTATTCTTAAAGCACTTCTCCGTAGAGAAATAAAAGAATAAAGGAAGCGAATGCACACCTTGCTTGCAATATCAATATCCTACTTAAGCCGTCAAGAGCAGCCTTATCTAGACAGTCTTAAGTCACATGCACCCAAATTCCTACTTATCCCATCTGTCGACAAAGAAAAATGCAGTCTCACGGTTTTTCGAGAAGAGAATTATGCAAAAGCACCAGACTGGGTGTCCAGAGGCTTGGGTTGTCACGCATCCGAAAACAAATGTGTGACCGCTGGCTAGTCATTGACTCACTCGGCGACTACTTCCTCCCTTGCAAAGAATGAAACTGGTCCCACATTTGCTCTTGCAATATCAAGTCTGTGTTCCTGCTACTTCCCTGAGGGGTAAAGAGCCACAGGTCTGGTGCTCACTTGACTCGGGTGGGCCTGGACTACTCCCATCGCCCTAACCAGGGATGCCTCGTGCTTTCCGAGGGCCCTTCAGATCCTTAGTTACTACCTCTCCTTCAGCACCTCGTCACAAGGCAGAGAAAGCCAAAGTCCTCAAACAGCTCGTAACTTAATTATGTACACAGATCAACTGGGACTCTTCCTCCAGTAATTCTATAGGCGCGTGGGAAAAGTACACTCCGTCCAATGTGACGGTGTGCAAACACAACCGCCAGTCTGCAGAGATGAGGATTTCCCCTCAAAGTTTCTTCCAGCTTGTACCGAATCGACCCGGGGTGAGGCTCGCCAGCCCGCTCTGCACCCACGCCTCTGCTCAGAGACACACGGATCCCTGTAAAGATACTGCCAGGGGTCGATCAAGCCCCGTCTGCCCCGCATCTGCGCGCCCCCCCCCCCCCCCCACCAATGCTCCGGCGCGCCCCTCTCCGCGTCCTCGGCTCCAGCTCACCCACCGGTGGCACCTGCTGCGCAACCAAGCAGGTGACGGTCCCGCCCAGCAAGATGAAGATTAGACGACGCCAGCCTAGCATCCTTCCACCCACCAACGCGCTGCAAAAGACTCCTGAGGAGGCCGCTCTAGGCACCACCTGAGCGCCGAGCAGGTCACGCCCCCCGCAGCCACGTGACCCGACAGCCGGACCGCACCACGCGAGGCGTGGGCGGGGGTAGATGGGCGCCGGGGTGAGGGCGGCAAGGAGAGGCCCTGGCTTTTCAGTGACGCGGCGGGACGAGGGAGCCTTCCGAGAGGAAGAACAAACCCGGAAGATGGAGAGTGAGCGCTCGAGTAAGGACCGTGGTGTTCGCCCCACCCCCTGCACGGCAGGTAGTGGTTGCGCCCAGCCCGAGCTCCAGCCCCAAGCCCCGCCCCGGCGGGTGCGGCTGTGGAACTTTCCTTCCCGCGAAGTCCCTCACAGAGGGCCGCGCCCTCCACAGACTCGGGGTGGGGACCACCTCCTCTTTCCCGGTCCGCGCCGCCGCGCACCGTCCCCGTACCGCCCAGGGCGAGTCTGCCCTCGGCCGCTCGGTACCAAATGTCCATGAGATGGGCACAAGTCACGAGAGTCTCAAAACGCAGCGTAGCCCGCGACAGCGACAGGTCTTTGCCCTCTGAGGAGAGCAGGGCCCGAAGTGAGTGAGGTTATCGGTCCTGACCGTGGAGTCACCCGACGGCTGTCAGGGGCCAGGAGCGGGGCATAGTTAATTCTCACGGATGCTCCAAGCTGTGAATTTACCTAAATAGGCTTTCGCCTCCGAACTGACAAGCCACAGAATTTAGGCTTCGGTTTACTCGCACTGAGACAACAGGTGGAATGCCCAGGTAGGACCGAGAAGCTTCCTTACGTGGAGTGAAGCACCTGTGTACCTTCACCTGCTGCAGTGAGAGGACGCATGTTGGCAAAACCCAGGTGAACCTGGGAGCAGGGTAGGCGGGCAGTCTGTTTTAGTCTGCACCTGGAAAACAACTTTACAGGTGTTTGCTTGGCATGCGTGCGGTGTTGGACACTGTTGCCCTAGTCGGATAAAATGTAAGTGTTAGTCGCTCAGTCGTGTCCGACTCTTTGCGACCCCGTGGACTATAGTCTGCGAGGCTCCTCTATCCGTGGGATTTTCCAGGCAAGAATGCCACAGTGGATTGCCATGCTCTCCTCCAGGGGATCTTCCCGACCCAGGGTTGGAACCCAGGTCTCCCCTATTGCAGGCAGATTCTTTACCATCTTAGCCATATAAGTTCAGTAGAAAATCCTGAGCTCTCCGTTGCACTTGCTGATTGAACCTTTTTGACTTCCAACTGGCTTTTTAAAAAAAATGCTTCAGTAAAATCTGAATACCGTCACTAAAATCTTCATATATATATTTTTTTCTTATGTAAGTTTGAAATTGCGGTTTCAAACTTACCCGTTTGTATCCCTTTGTTAGGAAAAAAATCAGTGTTTTTGCTGGAGATTGGGAAATGAGAATTTGATATCTGGGAGTATTTATTCAAGTTTTTCTTTTCTTTTTTTTTGTGGTAGATGACAGGATTCCTCTCTCTGATGAGGGAAGTTTGATTTTTGAAACGTATCACATGATTAAAGTAGTTCCTGATTCAAAAGTGAGCAAGAAGATAATAGAAATGTTCATTAATTCAAACAGTATTTTACTGTCCACCTGCAGTGTGCCAATCATTTCTCCAGACACTGAGGATAAGCTGAGAACAAAAAAGACAGAAGGCTCCTCTCTCATAAGGCTTACATTCTAGATGAGAAATGGACAATAAACATCAAACCCAAGGAAATTTACTTAGCATGTTGTTTTTGTTCAGTTGCTGAGTCATGTCCGGCTCTTTGTGACCCTGTGGGTTATAGCCCACCAGGCGTCTCTGTCTATGGGATATCCCAGGCAAGAATACTGGAGTGGGTTGCCATTTCCTTCTCCAGGGGATCTTCCCGACCCAGGGATTGAACTCACCTCTCCTGCATTGGCAGGTGGATTCTTTACCACTGAGCCACCTGGGAAGCCCTTACATAGAATGTTAGAGGGTAATGAACATCGCAGAGAAAAGGCAGAGTGGTGGAGAGGGAGGGGGTTGAGAGCAGGAAGAGTCACAATTTAAGTAGAATGGACAGGACAGGGGCTTCCCAGGTGGTGCTAGTGGTAAAGAATCCACCTGCCAGTGCAGGAGACCTGAAGAGGCACAGCTTTGATCCCTGGGTTAGGAAGCTCTCTTGGAGTAGGACATGGCAACCCAATCCAGTATTCTTGCCTGGAAAATTCCCTGAACATAGGAGCCTGGTGGTCTACAGTCCATAGGGTTGCACAGAGACTGACAGGACTGAAGTGACATAGCATACAGGGACAGGAAAAGCATTATTGAGAAAGTGATATTTGAGCAGAGATTTGAAGGAGGTGAGGAGTTTTGTGGATGACTAGGGGAAGAGTATTTCAGACAGAGGGAGCAGCCGGAGCAAAGGGTTAACAGAATGTGCCTGGTATGTTTGGCTACAGCAAGGAAGTCAGTGTGGGTGGAGCAGAAGGAAGAGGGATTAAAAAAGTTGGTGAAGTCTGAGAGGTCTGGGGGGTGGGGCAGGTTATACACGCCATAAGGAGCTATTGGGAAGACCTGGGCTTCGCTCTATGCAAATATGTAAATAGGTTGATTTATCTTGGACCTTAGAATAAATCTACAAAAAAAAGAAAAAAAGTAGAGGATTCCCATCTTTTATATAAATGGCTATTTGATTTGAAATCATCTCTTTTTTTGCATTTTATGCAAAAATTCAGGTTTTATTTTTACTTATTCTTGGTGGGAGCTGATGTCAGGAACTGAAAGGCAAGCAGTAGTAACTTTTGTTTTCTACCTCCTAGCCAGATAATAATACACATAATGTGGCATTTTCATTATGCAAGACTTTTTACATTTCACATTAGAATACATTACTCTTTTCTTGAATAAAATGACCCAGTTACTAAAGAAACCATCTTTGGAGGAAGTGTTTAATAAGCGTATTTTATTTAAATCAGGGGCTTACCTCTTAGCTCAGTCGGTAAAGAATCTGCCTGTATTGCAGGAGACCTGGGTTCGATTCCCGGGTCGGGAAGATCCTCTGGAGAAGGAAGTGGCAACCCACACGTGTATTCTCACCTGGAGAATCCCATGGACAGAGGAGCCTGGCAGCCTACAGTCCATGGGGTCACAAGAGTTGGACATGACTTAGCGACTAAACCACTATTTAAATAAATCCTCTAGTAGGAAATGGAGAATTCATCGCCTTTACTTAGAAGGCTGTGTAAGTAGTTACATGTCATGTTTATTTGTGCTGCTCACCACCATTTCTTTATTGGAAACATTTTCCACATCACAGTTCCCAAAAAGACTTTCAGGTTTCAGAATTCTGTATCTCCTTTGGCTTCCTTCTCTCTTGACTCCACTCAGGCTTTATTAATGGTTCACTTTGTATCATCTCCATCTTTGTAAACTTTCTTTAGAATGTTCATTAATTCCTCTCTAGGATCTGTTTCAGTATCATAGGAGGTCTAATCTTTCTCTTTGCATATTTTTCAACCTGAGTCAGGTAGTTCCACTGTGTGTTTTCTGCTTTCTTTATGTAGATAACTGTATCTGTCTTGACCTTTCTTGAACTGCCTTCCACAGAGATGGGTTTCAAGAGATTGTTCATAATCATGGAGTAACTCTTCCCATTTAAATTCTTTACCAAAAGATCAAAGGACTTCTCTGTGAAATGTACCTGCACGTTCTCAGTGAGCACTTGATGAACTGCAGTGAAGTTAATGTAGATTTTCATACACTTGTCTGGATGATCCCATCCATAATTACTGAATTTCACTGTATATGCTGTTTTAATAAGAGTAACCACAGCAGCTAGCTTTTTGTTTTCTAAAAGTTTTGCTTTCCTCTGTGATTTCTCCTGCATCTTGTTTTTGATTTCTGTCTCAATCTTGGATTTTTCAGCTGTGAGGGGATCAGATACTCTTTTTCTGGTGGCTTTTCCCAGCAGCACTTTAAGCTCTTCTATATCTTTCTGTAGCTCTTCCTAATTGAAGCCATGGTTGGGCTGCGGCAGGCAAGGCCCCGGCTGCAGTGGCACAGGGCCGAGAACAGGAAATGCCACCCTGAACATGCTCACACCCAGCGCAGACTGCTCTGGCATTGATCAGTCATCTTTTTGAAAAAAAAAAAAATTTATCAAAAGATTTTTTAAATTCTGTAGTGCTTTATAACTTTCAAAAATTATACACACATGATTTCATATAATTGCATTATTGCCCCTCCCCTTTCACTTCTCCCCAACTGGTAACCACTAGTTTGTTTTCAATATCTTTGAGTCTGCTTCTTTTTTGTTTATTAACTAGTTTGTTTTATTTTTCAGATTCCACAACATGAGTGATAGCATACAGTATTTTGTATTTCTCTATATTATTTCACTAAGCATTATGCTTTCCAAGTCCATCCATTTTACTACAAATGGCAAAATTTCCTTCTTTTATATGGCTGAGTAGTATTCCATTGTATATGTTTATATAGCAGTACTTCTTTATCCATTCATCATGATAGACACTTAGGTTTCTTCCATACCTTGGTCATTAAAAATGATGATGCTATAAAGATAGGAGTGCATGTATCTTTTCCATTACTGTTTTTTGGATATATACCCAGAAGTGAAATTTCTAGGTCATATCAATTCAGTTCAGTCGCTCAGTTGTGTCTGACTCTCTGCGACCCCATGGACTGCAGCACGCCAAGCCTCCCTGTCCATCACCAACTCCCAGAGTTTACTCAAACTCATGTCCATTGAGTCGGTGATGCCATCCAACCATCTCATCCTCTGTCGTCCCCTTCTCCTCCTGCCTTCAATCTTTCCCAGCATCAGGGTCTTTTCAAATGAGTCAGTTCTTTATATCAGGTGGCCAAAGTATTGGAGTTTCAGCTTCAGCATCAGTCCTTCCAATGAATATTCAGGACTAATTTCCCTTAGGATGGACTGGTTGGATCTCCTTGCAGTCCAAGGGACTCTTTAAAAGTCTTCTCCAACACCACAGTTCAAAAGCATCAATTCTTCGCCGCTCAGCTTTCTTTATAGTCCAGCTCTCCCATCCATACATGACTTCTGGAAAAATCATAGCTTTGATTAGAGGAAACTTTGTTGACAAAATAATGTCTCTGACAAAATAATGTTGCTTTTTAATATGCTGTCTAGGTTGGTTGCAGCTTTTTTTCCAAGGAGCAAGCATCTTTTAATTTGCTACAATCACCATCTGCAGTGATAATAAAGTCTGTCACTGTTTCCCCATCTATTTGCAATGAAGTCATGGGACCAGGTCCCATGATCTTAGTTTTCGAAATGTTGACTTTTAAACCAACTTTTTCACTCCCCTCTTTCACTTTCATCAAGAGGCTCTTTAAAACTAGGTCATATAGTAGTGACCTAAAAATAGAGCTACTCTATTTTTAGTTTTTGGAGAAACTGCCATACTGGTTTCCACAGTGGCTTCAACAATTTACATCCCCATAAACAGTGTACAAGGGTTTCCTTTTCTCCACATCCTTCAAGATCATTTATCTGAGAGCACTTTAAACATGTTACCAGGGACTTCCCTGGTGGTCCAGTAGTTAAGAATCTGCCCTGCAATATGGGGAACTAAGATCCCACATGCCATGAAGCAACTAAGACTTGTGACAATGAAAGATCTCACATGATGCAACTAAGACCCAATGCAGCCAAATAAATAACTATTTAAAAAACACATCACCAAAAAAAAAAAAAAACCACATCACCAAACACATTTCTTTTTTCTCTACAAGAGGATGTTAATTGCCCGTTAGATGGTCTGGCAAAATCAGAATCTTTATGCAGAAGATTTGTCAATTGGCATAATATTCTTAGACATGATTTTCGTATACCTATGCATTTAACTTTCAATACTCTATTATATATCTTTGATTCTGTTTTCAGACAAAATTTAAATCAAGTTCCTTAAAATTATGCCATTTTATGCATTTTTTTTTATTTTACCTACATCTTTTTTCTTAACCTACTCAATTTTTTGGTACTAGAAATGCACAGAAGGAAGACCAAGGCAAATTGTGCAGCCATATGAAACTTCACTGTGCTTTATGGCACACTGACATATTCATAGAAATGGTATTTAAGTGTACAAATGATTATGTTGGAAAGGGTGGTTCAAGTATTATCTACACAGCAAGCATCAAGGATAAGACTTGGATAACCTGTTTAGTATGAAGAGTCGGCATCATTAATCAAATTGTTTATCAGAATAGCTGAAGTTCTTGGCAAGCTGTGGACTTTTTCTAATCTCCTACCTAACATTACTGGGTTCCTGAGGTGGAGACTTGATTTAAAATCATTGCAGCTTAACCGCCCAATCCTGAATGAAATCTATCGCACATAACATATTACCCAGAACAGGTATGACTTGATTTAATAAAGCTGAATATTCAGAGGTTTGCCCTAAAAAAGCAAGAAATATGGAAATAACAATCCATTAAAAAAAAAAAAACATCTTACCAGAAGTATTTACCAATGAGTTTCTTAATTAATTAAAAAAAAAAGACAGTATATCTAAAATGTAATCTGAGTTTCAAAGCTTTGATTTTTGTCCATATTTTCAGGAAGAAATCTAGAGAAAGATAAAACAGATGGAAATCAGAAGTCTTGCAAAACTGTTAAATGGTTCTTTCCCTCCAGCAGTTTTCTTTATCACACTAAATAAGATTACTTGCTTTATATGTTTTGCTTTTATATAGAAAAACATGTCAAATTATTACCTTTGACTCAAGGTATAATGATATTTTATTCTATTACAAAACTATAAGTACTCCCATTTAATCTAATTGTCCCCACATATGATGTCAAAGTCAAATAGTTATCTTAATTATCCCTCACTTTGCAGTTACCTTTCTGTTTCTTTGTGAAATGTTTTTGATGTCTTGTTGAACCCCTGACACCACAGGCATGTGCGAGTCTGAAGAGTCACTTTATAAAAAAGTCCTTCTGTCTCTTTCTTCTTTCTTTGATAAGACATACGGTTCTGACCTGAGATTATTATTATCATTTTTAGTTATTTATTTGGCTGTGTTGCGTCTTAGATGTGGCATGTGGGATCTTCTAGTTGCAACTTGCATGCTCCGGACCCCACTGGCTCAGTATTTGTGGCTCATGGGTGTAGTTGCCCTGAGGCATGCAGGATCTTTGCTCCCAGACCAGGGATCCAACCTGCATCCCCTGCTCTGGAAGGCAGATTCTTACACTGGGAAAGTCCTTCTGACGTGAAAATTGTCAATTGAGTTCAAATCAATAATCGCTAAATACATCTTTTGTTGTTCTGATTTCATATTCCTACATATTCCTACATAGTTCCATTTTATATCAGTTCAATTCAGTGGCTCAGTTATGTCCGACTCTTTGCGACCCCATGGACGCCAGGCCTCCCTGTCCATCACCAACTCCCGGAGTTTACTCAAACTCATGTCCATCAAGTCAGTGATGTCATCCAACCATCTCATCCTCTGTCGTCCCCTTCTCCTCCTGTCTTCACTCTTTCCCAGCATCAGGGTTTTTGCAAATGAATCAGTTCTTCCCATCAGGTAGCCAAAGTAAACCATTCTAATTTCCTGTTCAATGCTTCCAACCAGTTGTTTCTCATAAGTTTGTGGTAAATTCATTTATTCTGTCAATAAACACTAAGCACTTACTTGACATGCTGGGTGACTAGCAAAAAGATGATTCCTGCCCTGTCTTGTGGGAGAGGAATTCAGTCTTATCGGAGAGGAAAAGGGAAGATGGAAGGGAAAAGTTAAACCCAGTGACTGTCTTGTAAAACAACAACAGTAGATTTTGCTTATTCCATGCTCCACCCTCTGGTTGAATCTAGTGGCTGTTTCAGCAACCTCAGCTCCACTCCTCCGTTTTGCAGCAGCCGTGTGGCTTGGATGAGCCTCGCCTCATCCTTAGCCCCATCTCGAGGGAGGCCCTTGCTGGCCCCATATTTCAAGGTTACCGAGCCCCCTGCCCCCATGCTTGGCTTCGGTCTGAGTCACTCAGACTCCTGAATTCAATAGGCCGGGGCTTGAATCTCAGGGCTTTTGCTCTATGATTGAGGCAATCGTCTTTTTTCTTCTAACGGGAAAGAGTAAGCTGTTAGTCTCCACTGTTACTGGCATTCATGCTTTAAACTTGAAATGAGCCATTTACGGATGAATAGATACTGTGGACAGCAGAGAAGAGATGGAAAGAAACTGGGTCATTAAGACATTGTTTAGCGACTAGATCAACCAAGCACAGAGCCTGTCCGGCAACTGGACTCTTTGTTACTGTGAGCCACTACTCGTTTATCATTTAAGCCAGTTCAGGTTGGTTTGCTTGCAAGTTGAATTGTTGTACCTGATAGCATCTTAACTGCTGTACACATAGAAATAGGTCTGTTTACCTTCTCAAGAGCAGAGGAGAATTTATGAAGCTATATATTTACAGAGCTATAACACAGGTTTCAAGGTCTCCACTTGCTCAGGCATCTTCCAAACTTTCTACCTAATTTTACACTTGTAATTTTGGACATATTTCCTTAAAGGGACCATCCAAATTGTATAAGCTTTAGGCCTTACAAAAACATTAGATATTTTGGAAGAGAAACTTTTCACCTTTCTCCCCCATCCCTTTAACATGTTTCCCTAGGGGAAGGGTAACTTACCTAACTGGTAGACAGCTGGATGGGTCACTGTATGTGTGTGGCCTGGCTTCTCTAGCTCTCTCATTCAGATCTGTCTGCCCATAGTGGTCAGCCCTGCTGACAAGAGCAGAAGGAAAAGTAGTTGCTGCCTTTGACTTTGTCTTCCAAAATTGCCACCTATTCAACAATTTTTTAAAAGTATAGTGTTGACACAATGGCTGTGAAGAGTCTGAAGAAAGCATAATGAAAGGGTGGCTCTGGGAGACACTGAGAGAAAGTAATTTAAAAATGGAGGCTTTTGTACATACTTGCATCTTCTGCCCCCCAACCTAGCCTACCCTGCCCTTGGTTTACTCCCTGTCATGTTAGAAATTGTGCCCCTGGGAAGCAGTTTGCATTTGTCAAATGACTGAGTGCATAAATTCATTCCAGAGGAGAAGGAGTTGGTGCCCCATCTTGGCCTCAGGTCCCAGCTGTCTTCTCTTTTCCAGCTTAATCAGTAGTAAAGTTGATGTTGATTCTCACCTGATGCCTGTGTGTATTTCTCAATCATTTCCCAACCAGGAAAGGTAAGGAGAATGATTCTCACCCTGAAATGACAACATAAGTCAGCAGTAGCAATTATAGGAACATATGTATAAGAAGTACTAAATGACCTACTAAAAGTACCAAGCAGATCAGTATGAGTCGTTAAAGATATACATGCATGCAGGGCAGAAATAGAGGCATAGATATAGAGAATGGACTTGTGGACAGAAGTGGGGGGAAGGAGAGGGTGGGATGACTTGAGAGAGTAGCATCGAAATATACATATTACTGTGTGTAAAATAGATACCTAGTGGGAAGTTGCTGTGTAACACAGGAAGCTCAGCCCACTGCTCTGTGATGACCTAGAGGACTGGGATGGGGATTGGGGGTGGGAGAGAAGCTCAAGAGGGAAGGGGATATGTGTATATTTATGGCTGATTCACGTTGTTGTATGGCAGAAACCAACACAACATTGTAAAGGAATTATCCTCCAATTAAAAGCAAAAGATACACATGCAGTAAAATAGGAATTCCTAATCAAAGGTAGTTTATAACTGAAAAAGAAAATACTACTAACATAAATAGCTACCATCTTATGAGGTCAACCACAATTTATGTATATATTCTACCATGTATATTATATATATTCAGTTATATTTGATTGCATCATATGAAATTGCAGAATTGGCAATTTTATATGGGCTTCCCTGGTGGCTCAGTTGGTAAAGAATCTGCCTGCAATGTTTGTAGGTTAATGAGTAGTTGACTGTCAACACTTTTATATGGTCAACCTCGTATTACTGACACCCCAAACATTCACAATTATTTGACTTGACTTGGAAGCCGGGGCCATCACTCAAGATCATCTGTAGACCCTGATGGCTCCTGCTTTTCCTCAGCCTTTGACGATTTTCCACATCTAGCTCACGATCACTCTTTTAAACATGATTCCGGTCAGTATTCTTACTGATTGCAATGTCCGCAAAAACAATTTTTCCAATATTCTGGTTTTTCATGGTTTTTTGACCTCTTCTCTTGCAATGACCTCTTCTCTCTCTCTCTCTCTCTTTTTTAACCTTAAATGCCCAATTCCATTGTCATGTCTTCAACATTGGAGCACTTCATTTTATTTCTGGAATACCACTCTTTTTTGATTCTTATATTTCTCACTGGACAAGTGTATTCAATATCCTCTGTTGGTTTCTATTTCTCAACTGACCTCTATCTGTGGGGTGCCCCAGAACCTGGTCTTCAGATTTCTTTTTTCTTTACGTATGCTCTCACTTCCCTGCTTAGTATCTTTTCAGTGATTTCCCATTATTCCTACAGTCAAGTCCAGAATTCTCAACCATTGCTCAGAAGGCTCTGCTTAGAAACCAGATTGCTTCTGATTTTTCTCTCTGGAAGGCATTATTGCTTATCATACCCCCTCAATCATTCCCTTTAAAGCAGTTCCTCCAAAATGCCACACTTTTTTCTGCCTCGGTGTTCCTACTCACTGGCTTCCTATACATGGAATGCTCTTTCTTATGCTTGTCCTTACATATGTAACTCCTGAGAGTTCAGCTTAATTGATGTCCTCCTTAGAGAAGCCTTCCCTGACTTAAAACTGTTGAAACCAAGTTTGGTCCCTCTTATTCAGTTCTCAGCTATCCTGTACTTCTCCTTGTCAGTTGTTTGTACATATAATTGTTCAGTTATATATTATTTGTTTGAAGTCTGCCTTCCTTAATCTGTAAATCCTCTCAAGACAGGGGTCATGTCTGTGTTATAATTATTGTATCTGTAATATCTGGTGCAATGCCTGACATAATGATGGTGTATAATAAATGTATGATGATTAAGTGACTGATTATTTACAGAGCTCAGGATCCTAACTTCTCTAAGTAATGAAACTGGGGGGAGCACACTTCAAATTCTAACTGGAGTTCTACAAGCCTGTCCTTTTCTCCTGTTCCCTCAACCACACTGCTTTCACTCTTTCTCTCTGTGGTATTCGTGGTTTCCAGGCTTCTTGTAGAAAGTCTGCAGTTTGTGATGGGCATTGGAAAAAGTGTGAATTCTTGAAGTAAGACTGGATCAAGGACCTGGGGAGATACACCTTGGGTATTGGGCTTTTATCTCAGAATATGTTTGAAATAAGATTTCTTTCTGTTCTCCAGACTCTAAAATAAAATTTTAGGTGTCGTCTTATTGTTCTATTAAAGATACAAGATGCATAGTTCTATACTTCATTTTATCAGGATCACGTAGGAAAAGATGGGATCTATTCCTGGATGTTAATATTGCACCTGTATCTCAAATCTGAAGGAGTGGTATCTGTGAATTGTAGGATATGCATCTATTCAGTCAAAGTGATTAAAACATATAAAGAGACATGGATTCAATCCCTGGGTAGGGAATGTTCCCTGGAGGAGGAAATGGCAACCTACTCAGTATTCTTGCCTGGAAAATTCCATAGACAGAAGAACCTGGTGGGCTACACAGTCAATGGGGTTGCAAAGAGTTGGACATGACTGAGCACACATGCACGCACACACAAGAAATAAAATACTACTTAAATCTAATAATAGGGGTTGGAACTGAGAAGGTATATTTCAAAATGTTTAAAAATGAGAGGTGTTCTTGTTAAAAGAATGAGTGGTAATGCTCCTGAAGGGTCATTCGACGTTAGAGATAAGGATTTCCAATCTAGGAAGGAGGTAGCAGAAGCACAATGCTTAACCTCACTGGCCTGTAGTTAATTTAAGGTGGAGCAAAAGATCAGCTGAGCTTTAAGGTAGCTTTAACTTAGTTAAGCTAAGCTTTAACTGCTTTAAGACAGTTCATTGAATGGTCAGGATACTGTCAGTGCTGAAGTTGATGAAACTGAGGATGGGAGGCTCCGTGAAGAGAAAGACTGAGAGCCAAGTTCCTGGAGGGTTGAGTATGCTGATGAAGAGCAGTGTGGTACTGCAGAGGTAATGGGTGTGGATGGTATGTGCTTCAAGGCCTGAGCTGATGGGTGGGGATAATGAGAAGCTTCAAAACTGGTACTTGGGCTGTGGTGCAGGATTCTCTGACTCTGGGTGCACAGGCATGCAAGCTGAATTCAGCTTGATTAGAGTCAGGAGGGGCATTTTCATGGGAGAGTCAAGAGGAAATTTGTCTATTAGAAATTTTGGTTTACACCTCTGATAAATGCTTAAGTCTTTGTCCATTTTTCTGTATTATGGAAAGAGCATACCAGTGAGGAATGAAAAAGGCAATAAAAGGAACATGGAAAAAGAAAAGTTGGTAATCATAGGTTGGCAGCGGGGAGAGGTTGAAGAGTCTGTGATGGACAATATAGAAGGTCTCCTAGAGATCAGTTTTGGACTAAAAATGAAAAACAAGGGGGCATACAAGAAGCTTTCTGTAAGAATTGGGGAATAAATTATTTTCCAAATAATAGAAGTGATACACATGCATAATTCCTGCTGCTCTGCTTTAAAGGTGACCTATACTAGGAAATGGCAGCTTTCTCCAATATTCTTGTCTGGGAAATCCCATGGACAGAGGAGCCTGGTGGGCTACAGTCCATGGGGTCATAAAGAGTCAGACACGACTGAAGCAACTGAGCATGCACACGTACAACTTAAATTACCAGGTGGTACAGTTAGTTAGGGAACTAAGATTAGAAACCATGACTTGATTCCTTACCTTGGAGTCTACTTTTCTTTAAGTTTCCACCTTTCTAAAGGAGTAAAGAGAGATGCTTTATTTTCTGTATTCTCTCTTACAATTCCACTTACTATCTGAGGACCAGGATTAAGAAATAGCATGATGGAAAAATAAACACTAATTAGTAGTGCTACACTCTTTTTTTGTCTACTAGCAGCATTCAGAACAGGATTGCAAAACCTAATCAGGTTTGCAGAACACTGAGAGAACACCTACAGATTTTAATTTACAAGTCCTTGCTGTACACTCTGAAAAGAAAATCTAGGGTTTTTTTTTTTTTCTTAATGCAATACAAAGGCAGGGCTGAAACACAAGGCCAAGTGAAAAGAATGCTTATTGTTTCTCCATCATGGAAAATAAGCCTCGGTAATGGATTGAGAGAAGTAGCCCAGTTGCAAAATATTAAACAGAAATAGATCAAATAGTGCCAGAGTTTTTCCTAGGGGTGAAGTATTAATACATAGGAAATGTCGTAAAATAAAACCTGCCTTAACACCATTTCCCTTAATGAAATATGCATAAAAAACACCTGTATAAGATGTTAATATTAGGGGATCTGTAGTGAAGAGTATAAAGGAAATCTGTACTATTTTTGGGACTTTTCTGTAAATCTAAAATTATTCAAAGATTTTCTCCACCTCTCTCTCTGGTGTGAGGACACAGCAAGGTGTCCAGCAAACCATGAAGAGACTCTCACCAGGAACTGAATCAGCCAGCACCTTGTTCTTGGACTTACCAGTCTCTGGAACTGTGATAAATAAATGTCTCTTGTTGAAGTGAAAAAATAAAACAAAATAAAAACCAAAACAACACCCACGTAAACTCATTGTAAACTAATAGGTGGATGAGGAAAAAGAGAAAGTAAAGGCATGAAATTATTCTTTTTTCATTCTTACTAATCTTTTAATTAAATGAAATGTATTTCAAGATGAGTGAGTCTGAAAAAATTATCACAGAGGTTACCTGCATTAAACCCCTTAGGCTAATGTTGATAATAATAATACCATAGAAGAACAATATCTTGAAAAGTCATTTTGATGTTTTTCACCTGTTACAAAAGCTATCATGCCATAATAATTTAGTT